TGTGTGTGTGTGTGTGTCTGTGTGTGTGTGATGATATTAACCTGCTGAACTCTGAAAAGTAATTGGTCCCAGTGGAGAGGACCATCTCCCCCCTCCCGAGCCCATTTGCCTGCGCTGCTTCCTCACAGGCCCACCAGCTCTGAGGCGCCCCCCACAGCCCCAGGATCTGAGGGGGTGCTGCCCCAGGAGGGAAGGCTGAGCCAGGGCTGCGGGGGGCTTTGTGGAGGCTCAGAGGGCCTCTGGGCAGCCCCGGGCACGCTGGCGTGGTCGCTGACTCCCAGGATCTGCACGCCTGGCCTTGCGTGGAAGGCTCCCTCTGCTCACGCACTTGTCAGCACACAGTTGCCCCGTGCTTAGCTCCACGTTGGGTCTTTGGGGACACTGAGAAAGGCGTGGCCCCAGGACGCATGCCCTAGTGAGGGAGAGTTTCGGCCACAAGAAACCCAGGGTTTGAGGCAGGGCTGTGAGCAGGAACTGCAGAGGTGGGAGGGTCACCTGGGCTTGGGGTGGCCAGGGTAGGCTTCTAGAAGGCGGGACTTTTGAGCTGGCTGGTGGAGGACACACACAGGCAGGGCCTTCCAAGAGGCCACAGGAGCTACATGTACAAAGATGGGTGTGTAAGTGTGGACTGCCAGCTTGAGGGCCTAGTAAGGCAGGGTCTCCTGCTGGGGGTGGGGGCAGGGCTGGGAAAAGGCAAGGCCAGCCCAGCCAGGGACTGGGGTGCTGCCTGGGGATCCAGAGAAGGGCCCACCGGCGCAGCCCAGCAGGCACCTAGTCGCGGGCTGCACTGTCCACTGAGGGACTCAGCACAGCACCCAGCCCCTCCCCACCCGCGGCGCCCCCACCACTCCGGGACTGCTTCACTTCTCACTTTATTCCTTTACTGGGGAGGGGGAGGCGGACGGGAGAGGGGCGCCATCCCGCGCCTGGCGGGTCTGGGGACTGGAAGGGAGCCAAGCGATGTCCGGGCTCAGACGCGGCGACAGTCGACAGTCGGCGGCGCGCAGCGACAGGAGGACATCTGCCTTGCACTGGAATGTCTTGACGCCGTCGGGGAGCTGCTCGCAGCTCTGCAGGTTTGGGGCGACGTGCCGGACGCACATGGCCTGGCGCGGACGGGCGCGGGCTGAGGGGTCCCCGCCCCGCCCCCCGTACCCCCAGTCCTCAGCCTATTTCCCCCCACATTGCCTGCACCCCCAGCCCCCCGCGCCTCCAGTCCCGCCCTCACGAGTCTCCGAAGGCTGGGGCGCAGCTCCGGGAGGGCACCGGCCTGGCCCAGGGGTCCTACCCCGACGGCGGACTCGGCGCGACGTGCGTATGGGGACCTGCGGAAGCCTGAGAGCAGCCCGGCGGCGCGGCCC